GATTTTTTTATTGTTTCTTTGATTTCAGTGCTTGAAATTGGTCTGTTCAGGAGCTCTATTTCTTTCTGTCTAAGTCTAGGGAGAGGGTGTGATTCCAAATATTGATCCATTTCCTTCACATTGTCCAATTTCTGGGCATACAGTTTCTGGTAGTATTCAGAGATGATCTCTTGTATTTCTGTGGCAGCTATCGTTATTTCCCCTTTATCATTTCTGATTGAGGTTACTAGAGATTTTTCTTTTCTATTTCTAGTTAGTCTGGACAAAGTTTTGTCTATTTATTTTTTCACAAAACCAACTCCTTGTTTTATTAATTTTCTGAATGATTCTTTTGTTTTCAGTTTCATTAATCTCTGATTTACTTTTGGATATTTCTTTTCTTCTGCTGGGTTTAGACTTAGATTGTTCTTCTTTTTCCAATTCCGTAAGATGGCTTGTGAGTTTGTTGATGCACTCTTTTTCTGTTTTTCGGATGTAGGCATCTAACATGATAAATTTTCCTCTCAGGACTGCTTTTGCTGTATTCCATAGGTTTCGGTAGCTTGTGTCTTCATTGTTGTTATGCTCAAGGAAGTTAATGATTTCCTCTTTTTTTCTTCCTACATCCAACTGTCATCCAGCATAAGGTTGTTTACTTTCCATGAATTTGTTTGGGGCTGACTGTTTTTTGTTGGAGTTGAGTTCCCTCTTTAGTGCCTTGTGGTCTGAGAAGATACAAAATAAAATTTCAATTCTGTTGAGGTTTGTTTTGTGTCCTAGGATATGATCAGTTTTGGAGAATGTTCCATGGCCGATGAGAATAATGTATATTCTTTATCTTTGGGATGGAGTGTTCTATATATGTCTATCAAGCACAGTTGTTCTAGGGTCTCTTTCAAGTCCTTTATATCTTGGTTTAATTTCTATTTGAAGGATCTGTCCAGCTCTGTTAGAGGAGTGTTAAAGTCCTCTGTTATTATGGTATTATAGGACATCATATTGCTCAGACTAATTAAGTTCTGTTTCAAGAATCTGGGAGCATTTCAGTTGGGTGCATAAATATAATTGAAATGTCTTCTTGTTGTATTTTTCCCTTGACCAAGATGAAGTGACCATCTTTGTCTTTTTTTACTTTAGTTGCTTTAAATCCACACATGTCTGTAATTAGGATTGCAACCTCTCTTTTCTTCTGAATTCCATTTGCCTGAAAAGTTATATTCCAACCCTTAACTCTAGGTTTTAATTTGTCTTTTGAGGCTAGGTGTGTTTCCTGCAGACAGCAAATGGATGGCTTGTGTTTTTTAATCCAGCAGCCTCCTACGTCAGCAAATGGATGGCTTGTGTTTTTTAATCCAGCAGCCTCTTCAATGGGGAATTCGAACCAGTAACATTTCTTGAGATAATTGGTAAGCATCAAAGCATTCCATTCATCTTATTTTGTGAGAGTCCATTGCTTAGTTTTATCTTTTGCATCATTGTGGAAGCTAGGTTCTGTCCTTTAATTTCTGAATGCTTAGTTGCTGGTGGTCCATTGTGATGGTCAGTGTGAAGAACAGGTTGAAGTAGTTCTGTAGAGCTGGTCTTTTTTGTGGTAAATTTCCTCAATGTTTGCATATCAGTAAAAGATTTGATTTCTCCATCAATTTTAAAGCTTAGCTTAGCAGGATATAGAATCCTGGGTTGGAAATTGTTTTGTTTAGGTAGATTAAAGGTAGATGACCATGACCTTTTCAAGTCTTCTGGCTTGAAAAGTTTCATTACAGAAGTCTCCAGTCACCCGGATGGATTTGTCCCTGTAAGTCAATTGGCACTTACTCTTGGCAGCTTACAGAATCTCTTCTTTTGTCTTGACTTTGGACAGGCTCATTACAATGTGGCCTGGAGAAGCTCTATTAGATTTGAAGCTCTATTAGACTTGGGTCCAATATCCTTATGAAAGGAGTGTGTCAGAATCTTTGTTGATATTAGGATAATTTTTTGTTTATAATATTCTCTAGCATGATTTCCATTCCTCTGGGGCATTCTTCTTCCCCTTCTGGGATACCTATAACTCATATGTTTGAATGCTTCATAAAGTTCTATAAGTCTGTCAGTGAATGTTCTACTTTCTCTCTCTTCTGCCTCTTTAAGTATCTTAGTTATCTCAAGAGTTTTGTCCTCTACCTCTGAGATTCTTTCTTCTGCATGGTCTAATCTGTTGTTGATGCTTTTTATTACATCTTTAAGTTCCTAATTGACTGCTTCAATTCCTTCAGCTCTGCTATATCCTTTCTATATTCTTCATATTGTTCATCTGTTATTTGATTCTGGTTTTGGATTTCCTTTTGGTTATTTTCCACTTTCTCAGAAATTTCCTTCATTGTTTTCATCC